GAGCCCCGCCCAAAGGGCCTGGGTGCCTTGTCGCGGGTGGAATCCCACCCGGGGGTCCACGCAGCCAGCCCCTGCCTCCGACTCGACTCCCCACCTGCTTGCTACAGCGGGTGAGGAAGCAGGAAAGGGGGAGGGAGGGAGGGATGTCGTCTGGATTCTTGTAATAATTTGTTTCATTGTTTCCAATCGACTTAGTCATCAGGTTAAATAGTAGCATAGACCTTTCAAAACCGTAGCTACCTTATAAGTAGATGTACTGAAAACACCTGCGTGTTGAGTCGTAGACAATTCCTCATTTACTGTGTGAACTGCAGGGGGTGAAACACTGGCGGAGAAAGGCCGTGCTGTGCGAGCTCACGCAGCTCCTTCCCCACCGCGGCCCAGGGTCACTCGGGGCCATTAATCAGGCTGTAGAGCTGCCCTCTGAGCCGGGCCGCCAGCGCCCGCAGGGCCCAGACCAGGGCTCCCTGGGCGGGACGTTTAAAATCACACAGGGACAAAGGAAAGGAAAGACGCTGGGGCCCAAGCCCCGAGCTTATGAAATGTTGTCAAGGAGGAGATGTAAAAGGTGATGGATTTTGCCTTTTAATAGAAAAAACAAAAACTGTTATGCGAACTTTGGTGAGATGCAATCTTGAGATCTAAGAGTGGGGTGTAAAGTCAGTGCAGACCTCAGCTGGGAAAGTTACCGTTCAGCCAATGGGCTGTGCGTTCCTCTTCTGTCCCGGGCCTGCCCCAGCCTCAAGCACTCTGGGGCAGGAAGGCCCCTTGGAGGTGTCTAATGGAATGTGGAAGGCGGGTGTCCTGGAGGCTGAAGCGGAAGCAGCCCCAGAGAGGGGCCTGGATGCTGCCCACACACCCCTCCCCCAACCCGGAGAGAACTCAGGCTCCAGGCCACTTGCAGCCCAGGTTCCAGTCCCTGCAGGACCAAGTCCCAGTGAAATGGGAAAACAGTCGCCCCCTTTAGGGGTTATTGGAGAAGAGCTAATGTGTCTGAAATGCTGACTCTGGCAAGGGTTTGAGTTGTTCTCAAAAGTTAAAAAGCACCCCTGAGAGTTGAAGGCCTGAGGCCCGGTTTGCTGATTTGCACATTTTTTTTTCCTGGCCAAGAATGATGCATCTTTCCGTGTCTCTGTGCTGAGCTTGACCCCTAGAAAAGTCTTTTGCTTTTTTCTGTCAGGATTGGTCGCTGTGATGCTGAGGTTCTTGAATGGTGTTTGTGCCTTTCCCTGTAATCAGGAACCTGTGGGCTCGGTGGTCACTTGACCACCTAATTGCCACCCAGCAATCAGGTGCTGCAGTCTTACCTGCAGTTTCTCCTCTGGTAAATTCGTGTGTGCGACATGGCCGTGGCCCCGGGGAGGTGCTTGTAGTCAGTGCTTCAGAGTCAGAATGGGCTGAGGAAGAGCGGCAGTTGCTGATGCCCATGGCCACGCCAGGAGCCTGGTCTCATGAGTTGCCTTGTCTCTGAGCCTCTCCCACACTCCACCACTGCGTCAAGCTCTCCCCTCGCCCCCCTGCAGCCCCCAGAAGGTGCATATCCTGCCCCTGCTCACCACTAGGACCTCCTCCTGTTTGGTGGTGAGCACGGAGCCTAGTGGTGTGGGTACAAGGCAGGGTCCCTGCACCTCACTCCCCATTCCCTCTGAAGCCTTGCGGGGATTGGGCCTCAGTGACCTGGCTTCCATGGGTGTGGCTCACCCCAGGGCACACAGCACCTAGGTAACGGGAGAGACCCTCCCGTAGAAGGTGGTCTCATTCCTCGACTCACCCACTGGGGAGTCTTCAGGATTCAGGTGCAGGGACTTTGGAAGATAGTTTTGAATTTCAGCAAAACTTGTTTTTCAGGGTACTCCTGTTTTCCTATAAATGAAAGCAGAGCGGGGGAAGTCCTCTGCGGGAAAACCTAGAAGGAGCGAACTGCCCTGCTCCAGAGTGCAGGCGCCAGACACTGGGGGCCAGTCCGGGAGAGCCCCACCTCACCCGCTGCTGCTCCATTTAAAAGTGCAAGGTGCACGCATACATGGGCACGCACGATTGTGCACACAGGTGCACATTCCCAGTCACACACAAGTGTGGGGGCACACCTGTGTACATGCACACACACACACGCCCCCCCGCAGATGTGTGATTCTCACGTAGTCATGCTGCATCCACACCAACTCTTTCTCCCTCAGAGTGCCTTGTTCTGTCTTCACCTGGACGGTTGAAAAGGCTGGGTTCTCTGGGCCCCGGGAGTACCGGGGGAACCTGTGATATGAGCAATAGCACCACTGCCCTGGGAGCAGCTCCTGATTGCTAAGGACGGACAGTAGGGGATGGGCTGGGTTGGGGTAGAAGCTGCAGCCTGCAGGCAGCCCAGAGAGAGGGGCCCCCACAACACCCTCCCCGCCCCTCCCCCCACTGTGTGGGGGCAGGGGGTATGCAGGCAGCCCAGAGAGAGGGGTCCCCACAACACCCTCCCTGCCCCCAACCCCCTCACTGTGTGGGGGGAGGGGTGCCTGCTTCTGCTCAGGATGGAGACCCTCCTGGGTCTGGCTGTGGAGCGGATGTTGGAGCCCCTGGTCCCCGCTGGAACTCTAGGTGAAGCCCAGGGATCCAGAGAACCTCATAGCTGTGGGGGATGGGGTGGGGTGACACCTGAAACCTCCAGCAAGTCTCTTCCTCTCTCAGCCCCAGGCCTGCAGAGGAGGGTGTGCCAGCCAACGGGGCCTTTGTGCCCGGCACTGGCTCCCCACCAGTGCTCAGGGGTCAGGTGCAGAGGCTGGCGGGGAGAAAGCTGGCTATGGCTGAGAACAGCCCCCAGGCTAGGGCTGTGTCCGGAGGGGCTGGCCATGGCCCTCACCCCACCCCCGGCATGGGGCACTGGACCATGCGGAGAAGGGGCCACCCCAGTGCCTGCCAGGGCCAGTCAGAGCTGTCACCCTCCAGGCTGTCTGTTAGCGGGTGCCTGTCAGAGAACAAGATGATAGGCCTGGCCGGGCCAAACCCCATGGCGAGATTTCAGTGGCTGGCCAGCGGTGGACGGCACAGGGCCTGAGACAGATGTTGCCTCATGTGGTGCTGTGCAGGGCAGGGGCAGAATCCTGGGAAACTAAAATACATGTTGGGTGCCCTTATACGATGATGACATTTGGTACATTTTGAAATACTGTGGCCCATGAAGACCCTGAAAGCAGTTCGGGGCACTGTGGGGTGCTCTGTGGCCTCTGGGCTCGGGTGCTTCTCTCATCTGAGGCCTCTGAGGCCTGGGAGTTTGGGGTCTGGGGCCCTTTTTGAGGCCCAGGCACCTGCCCAGAATGACTGGGCCGCTGAGCCCCCCCTCCTGGGAGCCTTGCCAGGGCCAGCACTGGGCAGTCACAGGCCAGAGCCCAGCACCAGGCGGTCACAGGCAAGGACCTGTCCAAGGCAGCAGAGTGCCAGGCAAGTGAAGCCCTGCCGTCTGGTGCCTGAGCGCAGACCCTGTTCCACGGCCAGTGGCCGTCACCAGCCTTGCTGCCTCAGTTCCCCCTCCTTAACCCCGGGGCGGGAATGGCTGCTTCTTCGAGGGGTTCTATGAGCGGCCGCTGGCAACTGTGTAAAAGCCACATACCACAGACTGTGTCTTTGTGCCAGACCCCGTGCCACGTGAGGAGACAGCCAGCCCAGGCAGGGAGCTGATCTGTGTTGTCCCCTGGCGCTGCCCAGGGCCACAGAGAATGAGGGAGCGGCGCTTACCGGCCCTGGCGGTGATGTTTGAGATGGCAGGTTTGGGCCTCTGCAGAAGGGCTGTCAGGGGGAGCTTTTGATCTCGGATGCGCTGAGTCAGATGAAATGTGGAGGCTGCAGGGGAAGTGTCTGTGCCCCATGCCTGCACGAGCATGCCTTCCCGCCACAGCTCCTCCGGCACAGGCAAGCCCCGGCACGGCTCTGCTGGCTTCTTCCACAGGAGCTGGGGAAAGGGGAACTATTCTCAAGCCCTTGCATCTTTCTGGCACTTTCTGGCATTTCATGCTGGCAGATGGGGTCACCTCGCCACCTCGGGGCTGATCCCCTGTGGGGCCCCTCGTTCCCACCGGCCCGTGTGATGGGCAGGGCAGGGCAGGCACCAGGCTGGATGGTGGTTTGGCTGTCACCACGCCGGCTTCCAGAAGGCCAGCAGGGCTG